TGTGTTTAGGTGTGTATTACAGACAGAGAAAGACAGAGAGAGAGAGATCATCTTTCTCATTGTACAGTCAGCATGTCTAAAAAGACCAAAAGCATTTTTTGGGAGGGGGGTCCAGTTGTGGGGTCTGAACTCTGGGCCTGTGCACTGTCCCTCAGCTCTTCAGCTCAAGGCTAGCACTCAACTACTTGAGCCACAGCGCCACTTCCGACTTCTTTCTTTTTGCTTACGTGGTGCTGAGGAAGTGAACCTAGGGCCTCGTGCATGCAAAAAAAGCACTGTACCACTGAGCCACCTTCCTAGCCTGAGCAAAAGCATTTTATTTGTGTGCATGTGTGTATTTGTTGTTCTTTTTTCATTAAAGCCCAGTGTGAGCCCAGCCACAATTTTTGTTTTCTCTTTCACAGTGTCATGGTTCCTTTAGAAAAGGTTTCATTAGATCTTCCTTCCCACCACTTTCTTCCCCTTTCCTGCAGCCCACAGTAACTGCTGGGCCTGCCTGGGTCTCCCCTAGGAGGTCTGTGTGAACCACAGACCAGAGTGGACACCTGCCCTTCTGTCTTTAGCCAGAGGCTACTGTGACCACAGCTGCAGTCTTCCAGCCAGACAGTCTGCTCTCATGTGTATAGTTGTAGCTAATTCAAAGTTGAGAATGTGTCTGCCAAACATAATTAGGGAATGAGATAGGGGGAGTAGGGCAGGGGCTGGGAAGCTAGGAGGATCTGGGAAGTGATGAAAGGTGTGATATGGCAGATGGTTTATCACGACCAAGGATGAGAGGGGAATCTAACCCAGGGCATTGATGGTGTCCGTGGGCATCTGAGCAGGGGGCTCCGGGCCCCCAATGTTGCCATGGATTTCCTCCCAGGTTAGTGCACTGGTGGGTAGTCCTGAAGACTCCAATCTGTGTCCCTCCTGAGCTGTTTCCAGCTGGGCAATGGTAGGCAAGTGTGTTCCCCCTGCTGGAGCCTGCTTGGGATCAGGACATGGCAGTTAGCTAAGGCTCTCTGAATGCAATTTTCTGTAACCTGCTGTAGGCTGTCTGGAAGGAAAAGGGGACTACTGATTTTGGAGCCCATTAAGTTTGATTAGGACAAGTGAAATGCCAGCTTTTCCAGGGATTTTTCTTGAAGCTGGTAATTTCTACTAACGCCTGGGATTCTGGGTCAAATTAGATGGACCATTTCAGCCACCAAACAATGACTTTCAAAGCGGCACAGGCAGAGTTCCCAAGCCAGATGGGTTTCTGCTACGAACATCGTGCCTTGACTGCCTTTGTCTGGCAGCTGCTGATTCTCCTCTGGCTCTCTCTAGGGTGACCACCACAGTTTAGGATGTCGTGGGGAGCAGAGATTGTGACCTTGCCATCTGCAGCTTGTCAGCTGTGAGCAGAGACAATCCCCAGCACCTGCATTGGAATCTGGGAGATTCAGAGACCTGGGATGCCTCAAGGATCCTTTCTCTGCAACATGAAACTTGGGGGCCGGATATAGTGGACCAACCTGTCTGCCCCAGGGAGTGGAGAGGAGGCCCCTTGAGCCTGGCGTTCACCTCACAGCAACCTTGTTCACACCTGAGTGGGGAATGGAGGGCCACAGAGCTGGTCAGTGGCTGGACAGAGATCTTTGAGAAGATATGCATCCGAAAGGCCCAGGAATCCAGTGAGGACATCATGGCTCACGTCCTTGGAAACAAAACAGTTAAGTGTGGTGGCACCAGGAGGGTGGGAAGAGGGAGGAGGGAGAACTGTGGGAGAGCTACATCAGGCTTTGCCCTACCCAGGATGCTTCCCTAAATTGAATGGGACTTTTCTGTAGTATTGTCATAGACAGATGCTCATTTATTTATCCAACAAACCATTACAGTGTGTGCCAAGCCTGGGGGGGGGAGGGGGCGGGTCATACATGATGAAAGGTTCCAGTGCTGGTTCCACAGCACATGAAGAAATCTTGGTTTGAGCTGGATACCATTGCTTCACTCCCATCATCCTAGCTACTTAGGTGACTAAGATGGGAGGATTGAGGCTTAAGGCTCAAGCAGGAAAGCCTATAAGACTCTTATCTCCAACTAACTACCAAAAAGAAAATGCCAGAAGTGGATGAGTGGCTCAAGCCATAGACTGTTGGCCTTGAGTAAAAAGGCTCAGGGATAGCACCCATTCTCTGGTTTTAAGGCCCAGGAGTGACACAAAGAGAGGACAGAGAAAGAGAGGAGGGAAGGATGGAGGGAGAAAAGGAGGAAAGGAAGGAAGAAGGGATCATGCAGGCCTTAGTTTGGAGCTCCTGGATCAAGGGAGTCAACCATTCACAATCTCTGTGGGGACAGTTTCAGAGCCTAAAGCCAGTATGTAGGACCAAGCCACTGTCCCCTCAGCAATTTCATGACATCCAGGATCTGAGTGGTTGCTTAATGTAGAGGGAAATAGCCTGGGGTAGAACCTAGGGCTCAGAGTGTGTCACCGAGTTTGAGTCTCCCCTGTCTCACCGAGTTTATTTTCTGGTCAGATAAGAAGAAAGTGTCCAAAGGCTAGGGAGGATAGGGTGAGGGAGTGTCCAGAGGGGGGTGGCAAGGAATAAGCAGGAAGATGAACAGGGAGGACGATCCCAGATCAGGTGTGTCAGGCCATTGAAGCCATGACCTCACCTGAAAACATAGACCATCAGTGATAGAGCCTTTGAGCCAGCTACATGGCTATTAAAAGTCCTGGCACTCTGGGTTCACCGTGGATGACCTCACTGTTGTCCTCTGCAGGATGCCTGTGCAGCTTGGGGACTGGGACTTTTGCTGGCTCAACCTGAAGATGACACCCCGTGTTCATTCCTCAACCAGAGGCAGAGGTAAGCATGCCCCTGGAACAGGACAGCCAGGGAATGAGGGCGGGAGTCAGACCCATGTTGCTCTGAGACTTCCTCTAGGGGACTCTAGGGCCCTGTGATTGCCATTCTCCGAGGTAGAGGTGGGTCTCCTTGCTGGCTCAGCCTTTAGTCTAGATGGCAGATGTGGGATTTAGAGAGGGCAGACTGAAGGTCGAGGCTGGTGGGAACACCAGAGGCAATGTGCCCTGAGCAGGGTTGTTTCTTTGAGGATACTTACAACCCAGGATCATTCCAGAGATAGATCAGCCTTTTCTCCTTCCTAGAACCCTACAGTCTGCATCGCTTCGCTGAGAAATTCATTCATTCCTATATCCTTTGGTTGGATAACTGGATCTCACCTGACTGCCCTGTGTCAAGGCAGTAGAGTGAGAGATCTTGAGTCCTTGATGAGGTCACGGGATCCTCAGTATGAGATTGTACTTGAATGTTCTGACTTGGTGCATGGTCAGTCCCATCTCAGCCTGCCATGACCTAGGACATAGAATCTAGAGACTCAGAGCAGGATGTAGTCTATTCTGTGAGTCTTGAGTATTATGTGTGAGCTTTGAGCTCCCGTGTGCTCACCTGCTTCCCTTTCTTGGGTGGGTTTATGCTAGAAAAAGTTTAAAACTAGGGCCTGGGTCCCATCCCTTGTTTTATGCTCAAAGCTAGCACTCTACCATTTGAGCCACAGCTCCACTTGCAATGGTTTTGGGTGTTTAATTGGAGATAAGAGTTCTCAATGACTTTGCTGCCAAGGGTGGCATGCAACTGCAGTCCTCAGATCTCAGTTTGCTGAGGAGATAGGATGACAGGCATAGAAAAGCATCTTTGGCCGTGTGCCAGTGGCTCATGGCTGTCATCCTAAGTACTCAGGAGCTGAATCTTAGGATCACGGATAAAACCCAGCTTGGACAGGAAAGACCCTCAGAATCTTCTCTCCAATGAAGTACCAGAAAACCAGAAGCGGTGCTGTGGCTCAAGTAGTAGAGTGCTGGACTTGAGCTGAAGAGCTTAGGGATAGCACTCAGGCCCAAAGTTCAAGCCCCACAACTAACAAAAAGAAAGAAAGTAAAACACCTTTGCCGGCAAAGGACGGTGGAAGTGTGTTTGTGTGTATGTGTGCGTGTGGGGGGGGTGGGGGTTGGTAGACATTTAGCACCCTGCTCAGTCATCATTTTAGATGGATTGTCCCAAACTCCTAGTTCACAACAGCCAATTCTTGACAACAGGTGAAGTTCTGGGTTGGATGTCGACCATCAGACCTCAGTCTCCTCATGGGACAGTTGTGAGTAAATAAGGGACTAATGCAGAGGGCTCTCTGGAGCAGGGCAAGGCACCGAGAGAGCAGGTGTCAGATACAGTTCTCAACATTTCTGTGAGCATATGGCAGGAAGTTGCCGGGAAAGGGCTCAGATGGGGTCTGTTATTAATCATGCAACAGGTGTAGGATTATGAAGCAAAACATGGCTCTCTTTCATCATTACCCTATCCCCATGAGGAAGGGATCCTTCACTCTATTCATTTTTCCAGCTGGGGAAAATGAGTCATGGAGAAGCCAGGTGACCTACTCATGATCTCCAGCTGACAGGAATCTTGTCCTGATTTCTCTGCCATGCTTCCTATGACAGTGGGTGTTATTCAGTCCACTTCTTGTGGTGGGAAATCCACTTCTTGTCATTTATGGGGGTTGAATTCTGGGCCTGGATGCTATCCCTGAGCTCCTAAGAACAAGGCTAGTATTCTACCCCTTGAACCACAGCATCACTTCCGGTTTTCTGTTGATACTTTGAGGATAAGAGTCTCACAGACATTCCTCCTGAGCCAGCTATGAACCACGATCTTCATATCTCAGCCTCCTGTGTAGGTAGGACTATAGGTCTGAGCCACCGGCACCTCACTTAAGTTTTTTTTTTTTGTCGGTCGTGGGGCTTGAAATCTGGGCCTGGGTGCTGTCCCTCAGCTCTTCAGGTCAAGGCGAGCGCTCTACCACTTGAGCTACAGCGCCACTTCCCTCACTTAAGTTTAATTCTGGACCTCTGTCTCTCTCTCTCTCTCTCCCTCTCTGTCTCTTTGTCTCTCTCTCTCCTTCTCTCTTTCTCCCTCTCAGAAATTGGTTGAATGAGTGCTGGAGGAGGTGGCCCAGCATCCCCATGTGGCTGGAACCCAAGGTGGCTCTCTCATTCTGGAGGTGGGCTGTGGGTCAGGAGCTGTTTTGCTCAGCCTGTTGAAGCAGCTTCATGAGGTAAGGCCCTCTGTGCCTTGGCTAGACTGTGACAGTTTTTCATTGTCCATCCCATGCGTCCTTCCCCACATCCCTCTGCTACACCGTTGAAGGAAAGTGGATGAGAAGGTGTCACCTGTCCCTCTGCCCAGCACAATCCCCGGCCTCTGACCTATACCCCCACCTATCTGACAAAACCCTGGCTATAAGACAAAAAAACACTCCATATGTACTACCCTTTGCTGGGGAGTGTCATTTCAGTTAGGGGGGCGGGGTTCAGAGGAAAGACCCCAGACCTGACTCCTCCCTGGGGCACATTTGTTCTTGTGACAGAGCCAAGTCATTGCTGTGGATCAGGACAAAGCCTCCATCAGACTGACCCAGAACAATGCTCAAAGATAGGTAGGCTGTTGAAGTATCAAACCCACTCATGTCTGCTTCCTACTCCCAACAAGGAGGTGTAGTATGGGTGGCCAGGCCCTGGGCCTAAGGGATTATAAATGGATGGTGGAGGTCAGGAGCTCATGGCTCCCACCCATCATCCTGGTTCTTTGGGAGGCTGAGGTCTGATGGTTGTGACTCAGAGCAGCACAGGCAGGAATGTCCAGGAGATTCTTATCTCCCATAAACCACCTTCCTCCCCAAACCCACACACAAAAAACCCAGATGTGGTGCTGTGGCTCAACTGGTAGAGCCTCAGCCTTGAACAAAAAAAGCTAAGGGATAACACCCAGGCCCTGAATCCAAGCCCTAGGACTAACACAATCATAAAATAAATGAATAGTGTACATCTTTTATCTTACTACCAAGAAAGATGTTTTTAGTTTTCTCACTGGTACATGTAGCCAAAGATAAGAGGCTCCCTTTCATATTCCCCTAATCCTCTCCTTTTCTCCTTTATATGTCCAGGCTTTATCTGTTGCAGGACAGAATTCGGATCATCCCCCTGGATGTGACCTTAGGTACCCTCCCTCATCCACCTCCCTTGGGGTCAAGATCCTGGATGCACTCCCTGCTGGGAGGAGGAGGCATCACAGAGATGAGGGTAGGTATCCCCAACACTCACACACATACACACACACAAACACACAAACACCCTTAAGCCAACTCAGACTAGCCTTTTCCAAAGACACTTTATCTCCTTGGATTAACTGACCTAGGAGAGGAATTTGATCCCCTGTAACTGATTATTTTAACTTGGGCTTGCTAGTTCACAGGAGATAAATGGAAGCAAACAAAAACCAAAAAGCCTT